CTTGGAGGGGGCTGCTTGCCCGCCTCTTGCCTTTGGACTATGGACCAGACTTTATGTGAATGTGTTAACCCAGATAGCTATGCCATGGAGCCCATTCATGTAGTTAAAGACTTCGGCTCCATGGCAATTGAACTGTGTGAATAGGATCTGAGCACTATTCGGTAGTTTTGTGCGCTCAGATCCCAGCTATCTGGGGATATGTGAAATGTCTGTGTGTTATGTGTAAAAGGTGACTTTATGTATTTTAAAGTGTTTTATGTCTTTTTGCAACTATGTGCTCAATGGAGTCTGCCTCTGTCCCTGGATAATTGGATTACTTTCCCCCATTGTCTCCAGGATAGAGGGCTCTGTAAAACCTGTTTGAGCCAGATAGCCATGTGCCAGCCAGGGCCCAAAATATACTTTTACTAACTTTTGAACCCCTGGTCAGATTCATGCCATTTAATATGTTGTTCCCTTGAATGGATTGATTGCGAATATGTAATTTTATGTGAATGTGATGTATGGTTTTAAAGTTATGAAAGTTGGGTAGAAAGTATGTTTTAACTGTATGTGTAATTGAGTTTCCTCTCAGGATAAGGGGAGGGAATATGTGGGATGTAACTGATATGTGATTGGTTGTTTTATACCTCCCTGTGGGCAGTCCTGTATGTGAAAGGCTGTAATAAAAACCAGGCTGGGTGTGCCAGCACAAGAGTTCCTGGTTTAACCCTCAAAGTGAAGTGTCGTCTCATTATTGGGGGAAGGATTTATTGTATGCTGTTCCAGTTTGACTGCTAGGAGAGTAAACCTATTCGTATGGTTCCTATTCAACTGTCTACAGCATTCATATGCTTGGGAGAATTTATTTGTTTCTCCGGTTCAGTGATTGTGGTGTCTGCCAGAGTGCTTGGAGTCCTCAGGAAGCGCTAGGAGCATCCTTCAACGGAGGTACCCAGTCGGGGTGCCAGGCGATCCGTTACACCGGCAAAAGCACCCAAACTCCTGGAACTATTTTGGACAACCACCTCACGGTTAGCCGGTCACAAAGAACTTCCACACTTTTTGAGAAACCCTGAACTGATCTGGGTGAAATTTGAATATGTTGGTCACCCAGATCGGGGCTATCAGGGGACATATTATTAGTGGGGATACCCCATGCCTAAAGGGGTGTTCTGAATATTGTGGAAAATTTTGATTTTTCTGCCTGGAGATAATCAAGTTATTACTTTATCAGACTTGATTATCTCCAGGACTAGGGGAGGGAATTGTATGTTTGTGCTGGGTGTGTTTTACTGTTTACCTGTAACTGATTGGTTATACTGTGTCCCACCTTGTGGGATGTCCCCTTGCATGGGGACTTGCATAAAAGCCTGTGTGTGGTCATTAAAAGCCAGTTCTGTTGTACCCTTCTTCTTGACTTTGGCTGATGTTTGGGGATTCGTATGCTTTACTAAGGGAATCATCTTGTAAATCTATTGTATTTGTATGGATTTCATTTATTCCATCTACCGAACGGACAGCTATACTCACTGATGCTCTGGCGGTTCGGGAGGAAACTACCGAATGAGGATTGGATATACTAGGTTTCCTTACACATATAGTAAAAACCAAAGGAAAAAAGTTACCTGCGCCAGAAGCTCAAGAAAGCAAGGTGAATGGTTAGAGTTAGGACCCACCAAGGAGGTCTGCCTTGACGTGGCCGGTGGGCATACCCTCTCATGGCCATTGGAGGTAACTAAATACCTACATTTGTTTAAAAACACATAGGGATGTTTTTCTTTGGTTTTTACTATATGTATTTTGGCTGATGTGTACTACGGTCGTTGCTGCCGCCCAGGAGTGATGGGAGTTTGAGCGCAGGACTTTTTCTTTGAATTTATAATACATTATTAGCTGCTAAACCCATAAAAAATTATTCCTAAAATCTTAGAACAAATGGTGAATTGAAAGTGTAAGCGCTTATGGGACCGATATACTAAGCACTTACACTTTTAATTCATTATTCTCTAGATTGGGTAGAGGCCCCTAACTCACGGCAAAAAAAAAATTTACTCTCGTTTTTAATGCTCTCTTTTTCTGTCTAACTCTTCTTTTCTGATTCTACTACAATTTCAGTTCAGAACGGTGATTTTGCATCATCTTTTTATAGTGAAATTCAGACTTTGTATTGTAATCTCATTGTAATTCTGAAGTTGTTGTGTATTAGAGTCTGTACTAACATAATTAAAAAAATATAAATAAGTGAATAAATTGTGTAGAGGAACACACATCGCTGACTATAGAGCATTACATAATGTTTACTTTGTCAGTAATTCTTTTTTAAGACGTGTAAAAGCTGACTTGTCATCAACGGTGTGGATTTTGATATTTACGTTTGATAGTTGTGCGTTGTGAACTTGCTAAGAGATGTGATTCAATATATTCTATTATGTCTCTGGTGACATTAAGCATTGTGCACTCCCATGATGCTCTCTGCTCGGAAATATATAAGCTCAGAAATACATGGGTTTCACACAATGCTTTTTGGAACAATTGTACCTTTTACAATGTGGGACATGTACATTATTATTTTTATTATTAATATTTATTAAGAGCAAACAATTATACGCACTCCAGATTCATTACATGGTATCCTGTCATCCCTGCCAGAAGAAATTAAAGATAAATAAAAATGAACAATCAAAGATAATGTATTAAACTTTTAATATTTGTTCACGTTTTATTTGCATTTATTTTAATAAATGTTATGGGAGAATAAAATCATGTTGATTTACTGAATGTAGAGCTGAATTCATAGATCTGTAGCTGAAGGTTATAATTGGCCTAATTATGGCCTTATTAAACTTCAATTTACACTCGGATATATAAATACCTTTAAATATCTGTAAACTAACAGTACAGTCATTAATTAAAACACCATCTGGCTGGCTAAACATCATGCCAAAAGAAGTCCACAACAGATATCACTGATGGTAACCTTTCACTTCCTGTGATGTTCAGCCAAGCTATGCCAAGCGTACCCATACTGCCCACATATAATTCTTTATACTTTCCTATATTTATGTGCCATGTGTACATTTTCATGTTTCTTCATATGTGTATAAAATTTATTTAAATATGAGTTGAGCCTATATGTACTGATTGCATATATATCATGCAAAACCATGCATACAATTTGTGAATGTATCTGCTTGTGTGTGTGTGTATGTTTAAAGTGTATGCTTGTGTGGCTTATTCGCTAAATGCTGTATTATAGTGAAATGAAAACCATATCGCAAAATGTAAGCTAAATAAGTATAGTATGACTATACTACTAAAGCCAGGTTTTCAATTTGTTACCAATTCAGCTTTGCTTGTCAAATTTTTGCAGTTTTGTTCTGGTGTTTAGTAATGTGTGAAAATCCATGTATATATGCAATGCCTCCAATGATATGTGGATGTGTACATATGCTTTGTGACATAATCTGTTTTTATTTTGTAATTTGTATTTTGTTGGGCTGCTGCAGCGGACGGAATACACAGTACATCTAATTCCCTCAACCTGGTCTTATCTTTGCCGTGTTACTGGTGAAATACTGGGTAAAGTAAAACATGATGCCTTGGGACATGTTCATTTGTCCCCTACAGAGAAAATCCATAAAATCCATATTATTACATGTGTGATTTTCTCCAGGAATGGCCTATGCACACTGAACGGGTGTGACATGCTCAATTGCGTGTACAATTAATGTGAGAAATCAAGAACAATTGGTAGAAAATATTAGCACGGTCAACATCTAATGTTCAGGTTACTTGTTGTGCAAATAGTGACTCTTTGATACTCTATTGACGCAATAAAAAAAAAAATTATGGTCTTGCAGATATACCCCAAATAAAACATGCATGCATTTAATTATGTATTTTTGTCATTGGAGTTATATCTAAAAGCAGCTTGCAAAAACAGCAGTTGTCTTGTCTGCAACCTTTGCAAGCCTTCCCCTTCAAATCCCACCCAAATGTTTTGTTGGTTTGCAGGTGCTCTGGGCAATTGCTGTTTCTTATGTTAACTCGACTGAACAAAGCAAACCTGAAAGCAACAGTGCTGATTTACAGCCAGGGGGTGTAACAAGATTATTTAAATTTATTTTGTAAACTGCACTTTTTGTAAATTATTTATTTTATTTTTTTATTTAAAAAGAAGACACACTCTTCACACTTAAGGCACTTCAGCATGCTAAAGTGCTTTAGGGGCCTGGAGTGTCCCTTAAATAATTGACAAGTAGAGAAGCAGGTCTCTAAGACAATGTTGTCTAGACCAAAGAAAAGTTCAGAACTAGCCCAATCTTTCACACGTTATCCCAATGTTTGCCTTTTGAGTTTGGTAACTTGATATTACTATTCACTAGTATATATATACCTGTCCTGAAGAATGTCAAACTTGACATTGTATGAAATGCTACAGAAAGCTGTAGAAAGTCCTTCTGAGTGTTGCTCTAAAAAAAGAGACAGATAGGCACACAGGCCGACAGATAACCATATAGTCAGATTTAAAGCAAATGTATACGGCAGTAATAGACATTCTTCCGGGTGGCAAGAGCGTTGCTGTGGGGATGCAGTGTCACCATCATGTTTGTGTGAAGAAAAGGAAAGAAATTCACTAAGGCTGTCTTTCCATGTGCTGTATTCTAGATATGTGGTATTTGCAGGAAAGGGGGGGATGGTGCTGATTTATAGACCTCTGGTGGAAGAGATCATAGATTGTGATAAGCAGGTGTGTTTTTTTGCAATTGTTGGTTGAGGAGATGTATATCTGGCAGGTCATGGGGGGCTCGGGTGGTGTTGAGCATCTCATGCCCTGCTGGAGGGTGGTTCGGGACTTTGGATCATTGTGGAAGCCCAGAGAGTGTTGTCATATTGGCGTGGATGCATAGCGCCACGGGTGTGCGGGAACCTGGGTCCGGGTGATCGACGCACATTGGCACAATTGTTATGTGAACATTTTGTAGTTATACATTTTGGATGTGTGTGTCAGGGCTTACCTTAGTTGGGAGTCTGGTAGGCAGAGATTTGTGCTCACTCTTGCTGATATACACAGTGATAAGGTTAGAAACCACCAGGACTGTGAATCTGTTCATGGGGGCTGTGCATGAAAGGTGTTCCAATTCGCAGTACAGACAAGGGCAAATCCAGAAGAGTAGCCAGACATGGTTCCAAAGGTCAGGGCAGGCAGCGAACAGGCAATAACGAAGATCCAGAAACAGGGGTCACAAGCCAAGTCAGTCTTTAAGCAACAGGAACAGGAAACAAGAAACTGACAATGTTCTATGGGAGGGGCAGTGTTTTATGCCCAGCTAATGATCGATCTGCCTCAGGTGAAGTTAGAGTGATAGACAGCAACCACAGGTGAAGCCAAGCCTCCAGCGATGCCGACAATACCAGGTAAACAGGGCTAAAACCAGAAGTTCTGAAGTTGCTCAGATGCAGGGAAGATGTCTTAGGATACAGAAGAGTCCAGGTTCAAATCCCCTGTCTGGCACCTGTGGGTCAACCACACCTGGCTGTCTGGATGGCACAGTGCGAATCGTGACAGTGTATATCTCTCAGCCCACAGATGTGTACCATGTGTGTTCTCTTTTTGGGCAGGGAGAGGCAGTGTTTTATGCCCAGCTGATGATCGATCTACCTCAGGTGAAGTTAGAGTGATAGACAGCATTCTCTTTTTGGGCAGTTTGCACCGAATTTTGTTTGGTGCGGTGCTGTGTGTGAGTGTACTTTGGCCCATTTGTGGTTTTGTTTCGGGCACGGAGACAGTCGGTTTCGTGGAGGCACTGATCGCACTGGGTGGTGGTTGCATTTTTGTTTTTGTGTTTTCCTGGATCTGTCCTTCGTGCTGATGGACAGCTGCTTGATTGTTTGATTCTGGAGGTAATTACATGCTGTGGAGGCATTTGGTGGTCATCACTAGTGGAAATATCGGGACACAAGGGGAATCTCTCTCAGAATAGAGATGGTGCAAGGTACTGCAAGGTCAGATGGTGCAGCCATCATTGACTGGAGAGGCAACCTCATTGGATCCTGGTTGGCTTGGTCTGTGGGATGGTGCAGCTTCAGGACTCAATGTTTTCAAAGTACAGTTCAGCCGCTCTCGTTCTTCCACCCGGAAGTATCTTGGTGCCTATTATTTACAAACATTCTGAACTGCTCTATATAGCATTTATATATAAGTCCTCCTGAGTATTGCTCTCAAGAAAGAGACAGATAGGCACATACACAGACAGATAACCACATAGTCAGATTTAAAAAAATGTATACAGCATTTCCTTTTAAAATACATTTCTAACATGTTTATAATGAAGTCAGTTGCGTATAAAGGAGTAAATTAATAAATAAAGAAAGTATTTAAACATAGGTTTGTCTTCCTGACATTAAAGAATAATTGAAATTGATTTAATTACGTTATCATCACTGAATCTTCAAATATGGTACTCACCGTATACTTAATACAGAATGACAAATTGAAATTGTACAATAGTTGGTTGAGACATGATTATATGTTCATGTTCTTTACTGATTTGTTGGGCATTGTGGTAATAGATTTTATCAGTTAATTGAATCAGTCAGTTTCTGCTTACCTTTTACATATGATACAATCTACAAATACGTCCCACAATCAAAAAATGGGGCATAGGTACATAAGAACACTGTTATCTTTTTTCTCGGTTGGGTTTCAATATTTGAAGTAAACAAAATGGAAATGGTTTGTCATTTGTAGTTAATTCATTAACGAAGATTATATACACACACCTTGAGATATGAAAACATTTTTATTACAAAAATGGAAGTTTGCAATAGGCTTTTATTCAATATTATTACATTATTACATTATAGGACTTACCTTTTGCACCTCCATATGTTTGATCACTTTTTGCACAATACAAATATTAAGCTTTTTATTATCAATTTCTTTTCAGGGAGAAAGCTAAAGATTATTTTATTTGAAACTTAGACTGCATGACTACATAGCTATATCATAAATACACAATAGAACATATATTTCATATATAAAAATCATCACCTCCTCTAGACTGCTAGCTCATTTCAGCAGGGTCCTCATTGACCTGTTGTTCCTGTAACATTTTGCAATTGTCTCATTTATTGTTAAATTTACCCCATTATAATATTATAAAGCGATACGGAATATGTTGGCACTATTTAAATAGCAATAATAATAATTGTAATCAACATGCTTTAGGACAATTCGTCTAAGGTACTAGAAGTGCAATATCTACCTATACAATGGACTTCATTAATAAATAGCTTTTTAACCCCTTAACACCGTTACGGCGTTCTATGCCGTCCCGCATTAAAAGGGCTTTAAAGCCATTTCATTCTAACTGTATTTTGTTATTAATATATATATATTGGTAACAAAATACACTTAGAATGACATTCTATATATATATATCTATATATAAAATACAAATAACCGCAATGATAAATACAAATAATTACATAAAAGATTACATTAGTATACACGTAGAATTTAAATACCTATAAATGCATATATATTAAAATTCTACGTGTATATTTAAGTAATCGTTTAACATAATTATGTGATTTGATTAAATAAAATTTGATTGGCATGCCTGACAACACAGGGAGAAAGTGCAGAGAATTTAATTCGCAAGCACTATATTTGACCCTGTAACTCTCCAAACCATAAAACTTGTACATAGGCGGTACTGTTTTACTCGGGAGACTTCGCTGAACTCAAATATTAGTGTTTCAAACTGGTAAATTGTATTACAATGATGATATTTTAAGTAAAAGTGAAGTTTTTTTCATTTTTTACAAACAAACAGCACTTTTATGGACTATATTATTGTTGTAATATGTTTTACTGTTTTAAAACACTAATATTTGTGTTTAGTGAAGTCTCCCGAGAATAACAGTACCCCCCGTGTACAGGTTTTATGGTGTTTTGGAAAGTTAGAGAGTCACATATAAGGCTTGCATTTCATTTTTTGACATTGAAATTTGCCAGATTGGTTATCAGGGATCTGTACTTGGACCCATTCTCTTTAATATTTGTATTAGTGATATTGCAGAAGGTCTTGATGGTAAGGTATGTCTTTTTGTTGATGATACTAAGATATGTAACAGGGTTGATGTTCCAGGAGGGATAAACCAAATGACAAATGATTTAGGTAAACTAGAAAAATGGTCAGAATTGTGGCAACTGACATTTAATGTGGATAAGTGCAAGATAATGCATCTTGGACGTAAAAACCCAAGGGCAGAGTACAGAATATTTGATAGAGTCCTAACCTCAACATATGAGGAAAGGGATTTAGGGGTGATTATTTCTGATGACTTAAAGGTAGGCAGACAATGTAATAGAGCAGCAGGAAATGATAGCAGAATGCTTGATTGTATAGGGAGAGGTATTAGCAGTAGAAAGAGGGAAGTGTTCATGCCATTGTACAGAACACTGGTGAGACCTCACTTGGAGTATTGTACACAGTACTGGAGACCGTCTCTTCAGAAGGATATTGATACCTTAGAGAGGGTTCAGAGAAGGGCCACTAAACTGGTTCATGGATTGCGGGATAAAACTTACCAGGAAAGGTTAAAGGATCTTAACATGTATAGCTTGGAGGAAAGACGAGACAGGGGGATATGATAGAAACATTTAAATATATAAAGGGAATCAACACAGTAAAGGAGGAGACTATATTTAAAAGAAGAAAAACTACCACAACAAGAGGACATAGTCTTAAATTAGAGGGACAAAGGTTTAAAAATAATATCAGGAAGTATTACTTTACTGAGAGGGTAGTGGATGCATGGAATAGCCTTCCAGCTGAAGTGGTAGAGGTTAACACAGTAAAGGAGTTTAAGCATGCGTGGGATAGGCATAAGGCTATCCTAACTATAAGATAAGGCTAGGGACTAATGAAAGTATTTAGAAAATTGGGCAGACTAGATGGGCCGAATGGTTCTTATCTGCCGTCACATTCTATGTTTCTATGTTTCTAGGAATGAGAATTACCCCCATGATGGCATACCATTTGCAAAAGTAGACAACCCAAGGTATTGCAAGTGGGGTATGTCCAGTCTTTCTGAGTAGCCACTTAGTCACAAACACTGGCCAAATATTAGTTTTTTGCTTTATTCACAGAAAAACAAATATGAACGCTAACTTTGGCCAGTGTTTGTGACTAAGTGGCTACTAAAAAAGGCTAAACATACCCCACTTTCAATACCTTGGGTTATCTCCTTTTTCAAATGGTATGCCATTATGGGGGTAATTCTCATTCCTGGGCTACCACACCGTCTCAAAGGTAAAATTACTAATCTGGCAAATTTCAATGTGAAAATGGAACGTTCTATATTTGACCCTGTAACTTTCTAAAACACCATAAAACCTGTTAATGGGGGGCCCTGTTGTACTCGTGAGATATCGCTGATTACAAATATGTGCATTTTTTTGCAGTATTATGACATTCACAGCTAAAATGTCAGACGTAAATACAAATTTAAAAAAAAATCTTATTTTCTCACATTTTTTTTAATTTTATCATAGGCGTGTGCACAGGGTGTGCCGGCTGTGCCTGGGCACACCCTAATCCCAGCAGCACACAAATGGATTGAGACCAGCAGGGGAGATCTCAGAATCTCCCCTGTCGGCTCATGCAGAGCCGGCACTATCCGAGCGCTGGCTCTGCTCTCAGCCTCCATGGGCCGGTGGGGAGATCAAAGATCTCCCTCACCAGCCCAGAGCAGCATGGAGGGAAGCAGGAGAGGACCCGTGGGAGCTCTAGCCAGCAGCTCCGCCGGGTTCCTCTCGTGAGAGTGAACTCTAGCCCTTTTCTTCACTGGACCACCAGGGATGGCAGCAGCATGGTCCCCCCTCCCTACATAAGGTAAGAAGGGAAGGGGGCTATTAACTAATTTGCCTCCACCCCCACAATCACCCAGACATACAGCACACACACACACACACAGCACCCACACACATACAGCACCCACACACACACAGCACACTAACAGCACCCTCACAAACACACACACACAGCACACTCACACACATACAGCACCCTCACACATACAGCACACATACACACACACACACAGAACCCACACACATACAGCACACAAACAGCACCCAGACACACACACACAGCACCGACACACATACAGCACACAAATAGCACTCAGACACACACAACACCCACACATATACAGCACCCTCAAACACACAGCACCCACACACACACAGCACCCTCACACACACAGTACACTAACAGCACCCTTACAAACACACAGCACCCTCACATACAGCACACTAAGAGCACCCTCACACACACACAGCACACACACACAAACAGCACACTAACAGCAAGAAGAGAGGAAAGAAAGGTTAGCGCTAATAATAACTATATACAAAAATAAAGGCAGCGGCCTTATAGAGGGTCACCCTCTAACCCTCTACAGTGGGAATATATACAAAAACAGAGAATAAGGCTGCACCAAAAAAATAAAAATAAGTCCAAATAATAAAATGTTCTAATAAGAGAGTCCCAATGGTAGGTGGTGTTTCAATTGGTATGGTGTCTTCCTTAGCAGTGGTCGTCCGTCTCACGATATGAAAGACACAATGGGAGAGAGCCAATTGTGCAGAGTGTATAAATAAGTAATATTTGAATAAAATATAAATTACACACTTACATTGCCATGAGCTAGGACCAGCTCAGGTATGATGGGCATACGGCGGATAACCCTCCGCTTGTAGGGGTGCTTTTCCTCCTGGAGCGTCCTGGTGTCCAAATTCTCAGGGAAAGAAAATAAAAACAGCCAATAGTGCTCTCTGATAAGATGGTTCGTAAAAAGGATAAAAAGTAAATAAAATATACTCACAAGTAGAGTGCAGGTCAATCTGCACTCTGATATTCGCGTGGGTGGTATAATCCCCACCTTAGGATATGCCAGGAACAATAAATGAGGTTAAAAGTAATAATAATTATAAAATTATTTATTAGTACAATATATTAAAACCAATAACGCGTTTCGCCGTGGAGGCTTTATCAAATTGGAATAGTAGAGATACCTGGCACATTAGGAGTATATATAGCTAATACAAACATTTAAAATTGGCGCCAAAAAATTGATCAACCAATTAAAATGATACAAAATGTAAATAAAGAATATACATGCAAAAGATGAAAAATAATATAAATTATAGATATCCATAAACATAGGATGATATGTATATATAAATATATAAAAAACAAGCATTATATAGTATAAGAATAAGATGAAATTAAAACTTTCGGTTTCGTGCGAGTCACGTGACCCGCAATGCACCTTGGGGCATGTAGTGCCGGGTCACCTGATCGCCGATATACAAATACACAGTCCGTGCGGCCGCAATAGAAGAAGACGGCACGCACGGACTGGGGAAGAGGAGGGCGGGTTCGGACCTTGTCACGTGACCCGCGGCGTCATGAATCAATAATACCCGCGGGCCACATGACCATAACCGCGAGGAACACTGGGGAGTGTAGTTTTGAACAACAAATTGAATAAAATTCGAGGATAACATATAGTAGAAAGTGATAAGGTGTAATTGGAACAGGCATATAAATAAAAGATAACATATAATAGGAGGTAATAAGATATAAAACAAATCAGTATGTAATTAGAACAAGCATATTAAAATATATAAAATATGTATAAAATAAACATATAAAAAGTGGATACAAATCAATTAGGAGGGGCATAAAATAATAAATCAATAATAGCAATGTAAGTAAAAGTAAAAATAAAATAAAATAAAAATATATATTAAACCAAAAGATAAAATGGAAAATAATAATTAAAAGGTAAAAGATTATAAAAAATTGAATAAATCAAAATCCACATTAAGACCTTGGGGAGTAAGAGTTTGTAAATTATATATCCATTCCATCTCTGATCTACCAAGGATGTTTTTAATGTTGGCACCTCTCCAGGGTATTTGGCACTTCTGAATACCTAGGACTTTAAGAAATTTAGGATCTTGATTATGATTAATAAAATGTTTAGATACTGAGTGGTTTAGGAATCCATTTCTTATGTTCCTACAGTGTTCTGCCAGTCGTGTCTTAAGACACCTGGTGGTCATACCTACGTATTGGAGGCCGCAAGGGCACTCCAATAGGTAGATGACGTTGGTAGTGTTACAACCAATAAAATCTCTTATCTTATAACTTTTATTTGTTTGGTTGGATTTAAAGTTAGTGATTTTAGATTTGGTTGTCTGATCTGTGTTTTTACATACAGTGCAACGTTTACATTTATAAAAACCTTTTGCCCCATCTAAAAACGTATTTTGAATATTTTTGGTCACTTTGGTATAGTTATTAGTTAAAATTGATCTAAAATTAGGTGCCCCTCTAAAAACAATTTTTGGCTGTGCAGGTAAAATTTCTTTGAGTAGATCATCCTGTCTTAAAAGATGCCAATGTTTTTTAATAGTTTTTTTAATAAAACCACTTTTATTATTATAATTAAAAATAATGGGAAGGGTGGGGGTTTCTGAGGTATTTTTATCTTTATACGTTAAAAGACTTTCTCTAGGTTTGTTTCTGACTGTGTCTATAGTGCTATCAAGAAAAGTGCAAGAGTAATTTTTTTCAATAAATTGTTTTTTTAAAACCAAAGATTGTTCATTAAAATCATTTATTTGGGAACAATTACGACGTATTCTTAAAAATTGGCTTTTCGGAGCGCTTTCAAGCCATGGTTTGTAATGGCAACTTGTCTGATCAATTGCAGTATTGGTACATACTTTCTTAAAAAAAGTTTTTGTATGTATTTTGCCATCTTGAATAAAAATGTTTAAATCTAAAAAGTTAATTGAATTAGTACTATATTCACAAGTCAGAATAATACCTTTGTTATTAGAATTAAGGTGTGATATAAAAGAATTCAAACAATCTTCTGAACCCTTCCATATAAAAAACAGATCATCAATATACCTAAAATAGGAGACTAAGTTGTGCTCCCAGGCATGCCGTCCCCAAATAGCGGATGTTTCCCAATCCGCCATAAAAAGGTTGGCATAGCTGGGAGCAAACCTAGTCCCCATAGCTGTCCCTCTTTTTTGGAGGTAAAAAGAATCATAAAACCAAAAATAATTGTTATTTAAAATAATATTAATACCATCAACAATAAAATCTATCTGGGCAGCTGGAATTATATTTTCATTTAATAAAATAGTTTTAACTGCATTGTATCCAAGTTGATGTGGAATAATAGTATACAGGGACGTAACGTCACAGGAAACAAGTATAAATTCTGACTTCCATACAAATCCTTTAAAAAAATTCAGTAATGACATAGAGTCCTTTAAGTAGGACCTCATTCGTTTAACTGATGGTTGAAGTAAGATATCTATATACTGAGATAAATTACACAAAGGAGAGTTTATCCCTGATACTATCGGTCTCCCTGGAGGGTGTTTAGCATCTTTATGTATTTTGGGCAGAAAATAAATCACCGGAATTTTAGGGTTCTTAATAAATAAATAATCGAATTCTTTTTTGTTCAAAATATTATCATTTAAACCTTTCTGTAAAAAAGTGACAAGTTTCTGCTGTATATTAGAGGTGGGATCTTTGTTTAGTTTCTCATATACATTAATATCATTTAATTGATTGTAGGCTTCTTTAATATACATGTCAGTAGACTGTATGACAAGACCTCCACCCTTATCGGCCGGTTTAATCACTATTTCTTTATCCTCTTGGAGTTGTTTAATGGCTTTTTTTTCCCATATATTCAAATTTTGGGGATCATATTTATTAAATTTGATTTTATTAAAATCTTTCAAAACAGATTTCTCAAACATAACCAAAGGGGCTGATTTAAAATGATATGGGTAAAATGTAGATTTTGGTCTGAGATTTGTATTGATAAAAACAGACTGATCAGTAGATATAGGGGAACAAGAAGAGGAAGGATTAATTTCTGAGGTTTGTGCTGTAAAAAATCTTTTTAGTGTAGCCTTGCGTACAAACTTATTTACATCTAAAAAAGCTTCAAATGGTTTAAATGAGTTCGTTGGTGCATACTTTAATCCTTTACTTAAAACAGAAATCTGTGCTGCACTTAAAACTTTATTGGATAAGTTAAAAATGCCAACATCTGATTCTTTAAGGGTATTTTTTATCTTTCTAGTCTCTCTTTTTTGTTCTCTTCTACCACTCCGTTTTCCTCTTGGCTTAAAGTTCTTTTTTTTGCCGCTCTTGTGGGATAAGGTGTGTTGATAAAAGTGTTGGGATGTGTTTGAATCTCTAAAAAATGATCATCATTATCTATTTCGGAGTCGATGGACAATAGTTGATATCTGTTGGTGTGTGTAATAGGGGTATCAGAGTGGTTTTTGTAAAAAGTGTTGGATCGCTGATATTTAGGTGAATGTGATTGATTGTCAGGGATGTGAGAATTGTAATAACGATTAGAGGAATCCGGATAATTTGATGTTTTGTATGGAATCTTACGTGATGTGTATGATGATGGACGGTGATAAGGCAAAGGAGCATAGTGGGAATTCTGTTTTCTATAGTGAGGTTTAGGTCGGTATGGAGAGTGGTGAAAGGGTTTGGGAGGAATAGAGGAGTGATTTTTATTAATGTATGAAGATGCGTACCGTGTATTGTGTGTAGTAGCTGGTTGGTATTGGTGAGACTCTGTTCTTGTATTGGTATGTGGGTTATCAACCATATATCTTTTGTTTAGATGATATGTTCTAACCTGTCGGTTTGCATAGTCTTGCTTATCTCTGATGTACTTTTTAACTTTAATGTGCTTAGTGTCTGTTTCTATTTTTTCGATTTTACTTTGGATTAGAACTGAATTTTGTTGGTACACATTACTTTCTGTAAAAGGCATAAGTTTCTCTCTAAGGTCATTAATTTCTCTATCCAAATTAGATAATTTTTTACTTTTTTTCTTAATTAGTGTATCCATAAGGCCAAATGTACAAGTTTCTAATTTGTTATTCCATTCGTTCATAAATTCAATGTCATCTTGGTGTGAAGTGGGTAATTTCATAAGTCTCAGGCCACGAGGTGTTATACGTTCATCTATATATTTTTTAAATGTAGCAATTTCCCATTTTAATTTAATTTCTGTTGTTAGGGCCTTTTCTAATTTGATGAACAATTCTTGCTGGGTGAATGTAGGAGGCCTTACATATATAGGACTAGTAGGTTGGTGTGAAAAAACATTATCTATATCAATAGAGTAATTACTTCTGTATTCAAAAATAGACATATTAAAAGCAGCTAAAACCAGAGGGATATGGATAAGGTACAAGAAGAGAGGAAAGAAAGGTTAGCGCTAATAATAACTATATACAAAAATAAAGTCAGCGGCCTTATAGAGGGTCACCCTCTAACCCTCTACAGTGGGAATATATACAAAAACAGAGAATAAGGCTGCGCCAAGAAAATAAAAATAAGTCCAAATAATAAAATGTTCTAATAAGAGAGTCCCAATGGTAGGTGGTGTTTCAATTGGTATGGTGTCTTCCTTAGCAGTGGTCGTCCGTCTCACGATATGAAAGACACAATGGGAGAGAGCCAATTGTGCAGAGTGTATAAATAAGTAATATTTGAATAAAATATAAATTACACACTCACATTGCCATGAGCTAGGACCAGCTCAGGTATGATGGGCATACGGCGGATAACCCTCCGCTTGTAGGGGTGCTTTTCCTCCTGGAGCGTCCTGGTGTCCAAATTCTCAGGGAAAGAAAATAAAAACGGCCAATAGTGCTCTCTGATAAGATGGTTCGTAAAAAGGATAAAAAGTAAATAAAATATACTCACAAGTAGAGTGCAGGTCAATCTGCACTCTGATATTCGCGTGGGTGGTATAATCCCCACCTTAGGATATGCCAGGAACAATAAATGAGGTTAAAAGTAATAATAATTATAAAATTATTTATTAGTACAATATATTAAAACCAATAACGCGTTTCGCCGTGGAGGCTTTATCAAATTGGAATAGTAGAGATACCTGGCACATTAGGAGTATATATAGCTAATACAAACATTTAAAATTGGCGCCAAAAAATTGATCAACCAATTAAAATGATACAAAATGTAAATAAAGAATATACATGCAAAAGATGAAAAATAATATAAATTATAGATATCCATAAACATAGGATGATATGTATATATAAATATATAAAAAACAAGCATTATATAGTATAAGAATAAGATGAAATTAAAACTTTCGGTTTCGTGCGAGTCACGTGACCCGCAATGCACCTTGGGGCATGTAGTGCCGGGTCACCTGATCGCCGATATACAAATACACAGTCCGTGCGGCCGCAATAGAAGAAGACGGCACGCACGGACTGGGGAAGAGGAGGGCGGGTTCGGACCTTGTCACGTGACCCGCGGCGTCATGAATCAATAATACCCGCGGGCCACATGACCATAACCGCGAGGAACACTGGGGAGTGTAGTTTTGAACAACAAATTGAATAAAATTCGAGGATAACATATAGTAGAAAGTGATAAGGTGTAATTGGAACAGGCATATAAATAAAAGATAACATATAATAGGAGGTAATAAGATATAAAACAAATCAGTATGTAATTAGAACAAGCATATTAAAATATATAAAATATGTATAAAATAAACATATAAAAAGTGGATACAAATCAATTAGGAGGGGCATAAAATAATAAATCAATAATAGCAATGTAAGTAAAAGTAAAAATAAAATAAAATAAAAATATATATTAAACCAAAAGATAAAATGGAAAATAATAATTAAAAGGTAAAAGATTATAAAAAATTGAATAAATCAAAATCCACATTAAGACCTTGGGGAGTAAGAGTTTGTAAATTATATATCCATTCCATCTCTGATCTACCAAGGATGTTTTTAATGTTGCCACCTCTCCAGGGTATTTGGCACTTCTGAATACCTAGGACTTTAAGAAATTTAGGATCTTGATTATGATTAATAAAATGTTTAGATACTGAGTGGTTTAGGAATCCATTTCTTATGTTCCTACAGTGTTCTGCCAGTCGTGTCTTAAGACACCTGGTGGTCATACCTACGTATTGGAGGCCGCAAGGGCACTCCAATAGGTAGATGACGTTGGTAGTGTTACAACCAATAAAATCTCTTATCTTATAACTTTTATTTGTTTGGTTGGATTTAAAGTTAGTGATTTTAGATTTGGTTGTCTGATCTGTGTTTTTACATACAGTGCAACGTTTACATTTATAAAAACCTTTTGCCCCATCTAAAAACGTATTTTGAATATTTTTGGTCACTTTGGTATAGTTATTAGTTAAAATTGATCTAAAATTAGGTGCCCCTCTAAAAACAATTTTTGGCTGTGCAGGTAAAATTTGTCTTTCTTATTCTTACTCATATTATGTGCACTCACACTTATTATATATAATTTTATTCAGAGGAAACAGGGCTTTCATTTAACATTAAAAAATGTAGGTATGAAACAATTTAATATGAATAAAATATTAAAAAGTGGGAGAAAATAAGAATAAAAAAAAAATGTTTAGTTCTACGTGAATTCATTCAACTGTGAATGTCATAATACTGTTTGCTTTTACTGCAATAAAATACACATATTGTAATAGAGCAACGTCTCACGTGTAAAACAGTACCCTCTATGTACAGGTTTCATGGTATTGTGGGAAGTTACAGGGTCAAATATAGCACTTTACATTTTTTAGTTTTTTCACATTGAAATTCGCCTGATTGGTTACGTTGCCTTTGAGACTGTATGGTAGCCCAGGAATGAGAATTACCCCCATAATGGCATACCATTTGCAAAAGTAGACAATCCAAGGTATTGCAAATGGGGTATGTCCAGTCTTTTTTAGTAGCCACTTAGTCACAAACACTGGCCAAAATTAGTGTTCATATTTGTTTGTGTGTGAAAAATGCAAAAAACTAATTTAAACGCAAGTTTTGGCCAGTGTTTGTGACTAAGTGGCTACTAAAAAAGACTGGACATACCCCATTTGCAATACCTTGGTTTGTCTACTTTTGCAAATGGTATGCCACCATGGGGGTAATTCTCATTCCTGGGCTACCATACAGTCTCAAAGGCAACGTCGTTTAGAGCCAGGTCCCTAAGGGTGGCATAGCACGCCCGCTGTCCTTAAGGGGTTAAACTATAATAGGTTATGATTATAGTATTGGTTGATAGTGGTGAGAATTTAGCACAGCTAAGTGGACATGGGCACATGTATGAGTGCTTGTGATTGGAAATATTAACTCCTTTAACACCTTAAGGACACATGACATGTGTGACATGTCATGATTCCCTTTTATTCCAGAAGTTTGGTCCTTAAGGGGTTAAAAAAATGCCATCACACACAAGTTTTTATGGTTCTGTATTAACAGGTATACTTGGTCCATTTCTGTATTTAACAACTGCTTGCAGCTTATATTCCCCTTTCAAGGATTCTGCAATACACATTTGGTTGCAGTCATTGGTTTGTGACTATGAAAATGGAAATAGAAAACAGAATATTGCAATATTATACAATAATTAAAGTAATTAAATGGGTGTGAATATTATTGTGAGGTAACACATTCACATTTATTGAGCTTAAGAAAGATTGTTAGAACTTCTGTGCATTTAAGGTTGCGCGACACCCTTCTACTTAATTATGTTGACAAATTCTATCCAAAGTAAACTTAACAAAAAACAGAGAATGAAGTCAGCGCTAATATATCAGAAAGAGATACAAAGGGCAGCAATCCCAAACAAGGACTCCCACAAGTGTCCTTGAGATAAATACGAAAAGTAAACAAACAGAAGGATGGCACTGCGCCAATAAACAAAATAAAAAAGTCCTGGTTAAGGTATTGAAATAGAGTCCAGTGTAATAAAACTTTGGTCTTATGTTGGTCTCTGAAGTTGTGGAATTTTGCTCCTTACTGATATATGGAGGAGGACGATGGATGATGAGATGGTAAAGAGTGATCCGAAAGGTATCCAAATGAAAAAGAAGAGATAATACTCACTTTTTGTAGAGCTTAACCCAGCTCTGGTATGAATGGCTTGCAGCAGTATTATCCCCGCTTGTAAGATCTACGGTGAGCTTCCTCCAGAGAGCCGAGGGTCTGGTAATTCTCTACCACTAGATCCCTGTAAAGTTTCTTCTCTTCTTGATTTAAACAGTCCGACTCCTTCGCAGAGAAGTAAATGTCCTCTTTCTTAAACTCAGATTGTTCCTCCTGATCCGGAACCAGGAATTATCCCAATAAACACCATGAACCCCGAGCCTCACACTCTGTTTTATGTGTTTAATTACACTGGACTCTATTTCAATACCTTAACCAGGACTTTTTTATTTTGTTTAATGGCGCAGTCCCATCCTTCTGTTTGTTTACCAAAGTAAACTTAAGCTAAAATAGCGATATTTCAAACAGTTCTGCTTGTTGTAAGGGTTTCTCTGAAGTATACACAGCTTTTGTATTATATGAGTGCTTTTGTGTTGTGCCCAGCTCTGTGTGTTACATTGATATAGTTGTAGTATGCTTAGCTCCATGCATTGCATTGGTATCTCCTTATTGTACCAGTGTCTTTCTATGGTATGGTTATCTCTGTATTGTACCTGGCTCTGTGCATTGCATGGGTATTGTTGTATTGTACTCAGTTCTGAATATTGTATAGGTATATCTATATTATACCTAGCTTTGAGTATTGTATGGATATCTCTATATTACATATTGCTGTAAGTATTGCGTGGATATCTCTATATTATACCTAGCTGTATGTACTGTATGGCTATCTCTATATTACACCTAGCTGTAAGTATTGTATGGATATCTCTATATTACACCTTGCTGTAAGTATTGTATGGCTATCTCTATATTACACCTAGCTGTATGTACTGTATGGCTATCTCTATATTACACCTAGCTGTAAGTATTGTATGGATATCGCTATATTACACCTTGCTGTAAGTATTGTATGGATATCTCTATATTACACCTTGCTGTAAGTATTGTATGGATATCTCTATATTACACCTTGCTGTAAGTATTGTATGGATATCTCTATAATACACCTAGCTGTAAGTATTGTATGGATATCTCTATATTATACCTAGCTGTAAGTATTGCATGGATATCTCTATATTACACCTTGCTGTAAGTATTGTATGGATATCTCTATATTACACCTTGCTGTAAGTATTGCATGGATATCTCTATATTACACCTTGCTGTAAGTATTGTATGGATATCTCTATATTGCACCTTGCTGTAAGTATTGTATGGATATCTCTACATTACACCTTGCTGTAAGTATTGTATGGATATCTCTATATTATACCTAGCTGTAAGTATTGCATGGATATCTCTATATTACACCTTGCTGTAAGTATTGTATGGATATCTCTATATTACACCTAGCTGTAAGTATTGTATGGATATCTCTATAATACACCTAGCTGTAAGTATTGTATGGATATCTCTATATTACACCTAGCTGTATGTACTGTATGGCTATCTCTATATTACACCTAGCTGTAAGTATTGTATGGATATCTCTATATTACACCTTGCTGTTAGTATTGTATGGAGATCTCTATATTACACCTTGCTGTAAGTATTGTATGGATATCTCTATATTACACCTTGCTGTAAGTATTGTATGGATATCTCTATATTACACCTTGCTGTAAGTATTGTATGGATATCTCTATAATACACCTTGCTGTAAGTATTGTATGGAGATCTCTATATTACACCTTGCTGTAAGTATTGTATGGATATCTCTATATTACACCTTGCTGTAAGTATTGTATGGATATCTCTATATTACACCTTGCTGTAAGTATTGCATGGATATCTCTATATTACACCTTGCTGTAAGTATTGTATGGATATCTCTATATTGCACCTAGCTGTAAGTATTGTATGGATATCTCTATATTACACCTTGCTGTAAGTATTGTATGGATATCTCTATATTATACCTAGCTGTAAGTATTGCATGGATATCTCTATATTACACCTTGCTGTAAGTATTGTATGGATATCTCTATATTACACCTAGCTGTAAGTATTGTATGGATATCTCTATATTACACCTTGCTGTAAGTATTGTATTGATATATCTATATTACACCTTGCTGTAAGTATTGTATGGATATCTCTATATTACACCTTGCTGTAAGTATTGTATGGATATCTCTATATTACACCTAGCTGTAAGTATTGTATGGATATCTCTATATTACACCTTGCTGTAAGTATTGCGTCGATATCTCTATATTATACCTAGCTGTATGTACTGTATGGATATCTCTATATTACACCTTGCTGTAAGTATTGTATGGATATCTCTATATTAC